CTACTGCATCCATTTTGACCTAGAACACTTGGAGCGTGGTAAATTACGAAGACTTATCGTTGAGGTTAGGCTGGCTAGGGATATCGATGGAGTCTGAGTGATTAAAAGGGTCGTGATCAGGAAAGACAGAAACTGTCAGGTCGACCTGCATTAGGACTTGTCATCCAGAATCTCAAGTCGGATTATGATCCAAAGTAGCCTAAGATGTACACTTGTTTTAGTATTTAATAATACCATTCAGCGCAATGTAACCAATTCTATGCATTCACAATCAGTCTAAAACAACATGGCGAGAAAAACTGAAACGCTGACCTTCAGCGCTGGTTGGGTGGATGGCGATGGTATCGTCTAAATCCTGCTTTCTTGCACCCAACTTAACCGCAACGGCGAATCCTTGAAGCACCTCGTCGCTGCCCATGCCGACTAGATGGACACCAACGACGCGTTCTTCTGGACCAACACAAACAAGCTTGTAGAACGATGGCTCCTTGTGTTCCTCATCAAGCATAGAGAAGTATAGGGCACGAAAGTTGGTAGTATCTGAAGCATCCAGTTAGAGTAGGCTCCCAAAAGATGGGCACATACGTACATGTTTTCACTTGATCGCCATACTTCTCCCTGGCACGGTCTTCGGTTAAGCCTACTGTTCCGATAGGAGGATGCGAAAAAACTACAGTCGGGATGTTCTCGTATGAAATTTTATCGTTTTTAAACTTTTCTCCACCGAAGAGTCGATTGGAGAGTCTGCGTCCAGCGGCAATGGCGACAGGGGTCAGCAGATCTTTGCCTTGAATGTCCCCAATGGACGACACGCTGGGAATGTTTGTCTGTTGATACTCATCGACGATAATGTTGCCCTTGTCGTCGAGGTTAACGCCTACTTTTTCCAAACCGAGTCCGGAGGTGTTGGGCGCGCGTCCGACAGCCCAGATAAGGGTCTCAACGACGAAAGATTCACCGTTGTCCAGATAGACCGTCTTCTCTGTGCCTTCCCCTGGCTGACCTTCGACCTTTTTGACCTTCGCGCCTTTAGTAATGGTGATGCCACTCTTCTCCATGTACTTCTCCACGACGTTGACCACGTCCGTTTCGAAGCCCCTGAGGATCCTCTGTCCTCTAATGACGACCCTCACGTCGCTGCCAAGTCCGTTTAGCATGCCTGCGAGTTCAACGCCAATGTATCCTCCACCAACAACCAAAACACGCTTAGGCTGATTTTCCAGTTCAAAGAATCCATCGGATGTGATGCCCAGACTGGCGCCGGGGATCGTATCCTCACTGGGAACGATGGGGTGGCCACCGGCTGCAACGCATATATGGGAGGTCTTCAGCGTGTATGACTTGCTACCATCAGATGGTTCAACGCGCACTTCGGTGTCTGAGAGTAATGTCGCACTACCAAGATGATACTCGACGCCTTCTTTGGTGAAGTTGGAGTGATAAATTCCGTTGAGCTTGCGGATATATGCGTCCCGCCGAGGCTTGAAAGTCTCCCAGCTGAACCTGGGAGCGTTGGGGGTAGTGATGTGATAACTCGGAAGGGAGTGCTTAGTCTTTTCGAAAAGGTCTGAAGCATGCCACATAATCTTTTTGGGAACGCATCCTGCAATCAGATAGGCATGAGAAATCGAAAGGCGGCTGGATGTATGCGCGCACCAACGTTAACACAGGTCCCGCCTAGGTGGGGTGTCATCTCGACAACGGCGACCTTCTTCCCATACGACGCTGCTCGCCGCGAAGTCCCACTACCTCCACTACCACCGCCAATAACGACGAAATCATATTGGTCGGTCGTGGGTTCCTTGTAGATGGGAAGAGGTGCCATGGTGGTGATCGTTCTCTGCAAACTGAGAGTCGACGTGATCTATTCAGCGTGACATCCGACTCCGAGTGAATAAAGGCGCAGAAGACTGAGACACAGAATAACTCACGCGGGATAACCTGCGAATAAAGGTCAAGGTGGGTGATTGGAACGCCAGAATTACCGCGATTGCTGATTTATATCCTCCTCTTTGTCCGTACCGTATTCCGCGTCGTGATGCTCTGTCATTTTCGTGGTCATCCAAATTGGCAATGATGACTCATAATAATGTGATTCACGTGATCGAATCGAATCAATACTACACTTTCTCACCAATCCAGTCAGAAAAATGAATGACCCTCGCAGTCCATCAACGAATCACCTGACCTGTTGTTTTCAAGTAGGGTTCACAAGATTCTGAATTATCTGGGCGGATGACGGCGGATATGGTATTGACAAACATCTCGAATACGCTAGGTACTATCAAGTACTATTCCAGTCGAGCCAGAAGACGAGTCTACCCGGGGAAGCCGTCTTAAATTGCGTTTAACTGTTGCAATCACTCGAAATCATCAAGGAATGGAGCTTGCATCTTCGATTTGTCTACTTGCGCCGACCTTTTTTTGTTCAATTTTTTTCGTTGAGGAATAACGGAAAGGATTGTTAGTATCGCAGCTAATAGTGAAGTCACCTATGTGCCTCACTGGTTTGGAACGGTGTCATCGCCACGCCTGTGGAGGTCTATCTAGGTACAGGACCGTACAATTCAAGGTAGTGATTCATGCCACTTGGAACGAACTATACTAACACATAACGTAACTATCAGTAGGACGGTGGTGAAAGGGGCAGGATGCACATCCGACAAACTTTGCCGTAAGTTAGTGCTTGGGTCCACGGACCAGCAGCAACAAACGAGCAGGAGCGCTAATGAATGTCCTCATATCGCTAAACTCTTATGAAATGCTGGTTTACCTGAACATGTCATAAGAATGGTCAATGGTATTCAGTATACCCCCAGATGGCCGCAAGAACCTAACGTGAACAAAAATGATAAATCCCACCTTCGCCCGCTTCAGGAAGTCAAAGATAGCAGTGGCGCAATAATAATTCATACCGGGAGGATGGGGGCTAAATTGCGCCACTGTATTCATCATTCATCGACGTCGCTCACTAGCCCTTAACTGATTTGATACTCCAGATATTCATTATCCGAAAAGTGTGGTGGTTCGTATTGGTGTTGGTATTGGTGGTGTGATTGATCTAAAAACGGGTGATGACGTCAGGCTGAACTCGTCGAACTGCCGTCCTCCGCCATCATTGCCGCCGAACGACGCGTGTTGAGAATCTTTCCCTCTTAGATGCAGCCGTAGGGAACTCTTTATGTCGGCCAAAATTCGGTTCTTCACTTACAATTGTAACGTCTTCGAAATTGCTACGGTAGCAGTTGAAGGTCGCGCTGCCATGCAGTGCGCGTATACGATACTCACCATCTCAGTACTTGGGTGGTTCCAAGGTCTAAGAGTCACTCGCGTACGCGCCGCTAAAACCTTCCTGCGGCTTGGTTGGATTCACTGTCTCCTGATGCTCCTCTCCTCTGGCCCAACAAACTTTGCTAGCAGCACTCCATGCTCAATGTCGTATCTGCGCTGCGATATCTATTATGTATCTTATCCAAAGCTTTATAGTTTTTGCTAACAGTTAACGTATGACTTTTAGAGCATGGTCAATTCTTCTGTGACAATCTTATGCAGCCATCATCCGATGCACTGCAGGCCTGATCTTCGCCGGATGGATCGTTCTCATGACTATCCATTCTTGAAGCCCGAGCTACAGACAAATTACCCGAAACTGAGTTGCTTTCAACTCGTCTGCAAGGTCTGCTGCTTCGCAACGAGAAGAATCATTGTATGCAGCTTTTGATTCTGGCTCTGATGATTACCTACAGCCGGATGCAATTGCAGCTACTGTCTCAAACGTGAACATCCTTTCGTACGGGTGACTCAATAAACATCTAGGACTCCTAGCACCCTTGTTATCGAGACTGAATGTCGGGGATTCTCCGGGGAAACTCCACAGCCTTCGCCAGACAGCCCACGAATGTGCGTACGTGACACTGCAATACTGCGATAAGAGAGAAACAACGAGAGGTTATCTTTCAGCAGTATCTGTGTGCAAAGCATTGTATTGTTCGCATGATCACTGATAGGTTATTGCCATACCCAGGTAACGTACACACAAGACACAAGGCCAGCAGTCTAATAATGCCGAGTTCATGAGCAATTCCAATGTCGGTGTATGACCGTGCCGATCTTTGCCAGGATATATGCCAATCCAAGTACGCCATTATTAGAGTTCTGACATCGAGCTCTACATCTTTAAAAACGGATGTACTATACTTAGCGGAACGCGCATAGGTCTCGGTGACCGCACATACGCAGAGGCAAAAACAGAATTGCAATTACACTCAGTCCATCGTGTTACATCAGCGAGGAGAGAAGCCATGTGACATCACGAGGGTCAGTGACATGTAAGGCACTTGCGTCTATTCGAAATCTGTAAGGTCTTGCGATTCGAGTCACGAGGAACTGTGGAACACCATCGTATCTACCCTGTGCCCCCTGGCCACCAAGATAGGTAGGGAATTTCCCTAGAATTTGAAAGGCGAACCATGCCTCATGCAACATTATTATAAGAATCACTCAATGGTGTGTAGAGGAGGACGGCTACTATATTCACAGAATGTAAACATAAAATGATGGACTTCCTTACTTCTGTGTTACGCAACCAGCACACTCTAAGCTATTTCACAAATGACTTCCCACGGTGCTTGCTACCCGCTGCTCCGTAATCACAGACAATTGACAGTATCCTCACAAGCAGCATAAAGGCTACAATGTTACCTGCAGTATCGAAGGGCTGAAGTTGTAGCGTAGGAATTCACGTGGTCACCTTCAATCCCAATTTATCAGTAGAAAAGTGAGAAACAGAAAAAAGCACAGGGAGAAACCATCATAAAATAACAAGTAGTACCTATATATTAAAACAAAAGTAATATTCACATTTCACGGGGTTTTCTGCGTGATTCTAGCCAAAAAGTTAATGCGCTCACCCAGGGTGAAACTAGAGACAACGCCCTAAGCGCTGTGGGATCGCGGTAGCGGCATGAGACCAACCTTGCTTGAGGGCTAAATTTACTATTGCCCGTGTAGCTCAGTGGTAGAGCATTGTACTTATGAGGATATCTGCCCCTATGCACATGCAAGGGTCTCGAGTTCGAATCTCGGCGTGGGCATAGGAGTACTCTTTTTTTGCCAATGATGAACGTACAAAAACTTCTACCGATCATCCGTGATTAGTGCCCGAGGAGTGAGTTATCTGCCTTACAAGAGCTTGCACTATTTCGGTGTACCAGACGAACTATAGTAACCAGGCCTGCACCGCGTGAGAAGATACTCATAACTTGCACCATTTCAGTGCGGTCGAAGAGGGAGAGAAAACTGTTTACCCTCACGAGGCTAGTTATCCTCATAAATACAGTGCTGTACCACTGAGCTATGCAGGCAGCGCTGGTTGGTCCCTGATGAAGAATACATAGTGTTTCTAACGCACTTCTTCGGCCTCATCTCTGGGAAATGCCTGCCATTGTTGCAGGTGGTCTCGCCCTTAAGGACAAGATAGTACCGTCAGTAACCTTAACATCAAGACATCCACATCTATGACCCTAAGAATGAAGAACTGTACGTATCGGTTCAGTGGTACAGAGATTACAGTCACAAGTACAGTCGTCACACCCGAGTTCTTGGACACTATCCGAATACTTTAAAACCCGAGAAATACAAGCGGTTAGGACATTCTTTTTTGTGGCCTTCACCTTTGTATCATAAAGAAGCTGAAGCTTCAATACCCAACCTTCCTAAACCATTCATTTGCTCTCTGGCGAGGGCGGCGATCCAGACTACAATCTAGACGCTCGGTACCAGTATTGCTATTCTCTCCATCACTCGCCATCCTGCTGGGTGTTTTACAGTTACCGTCCTTATCTGCTCCTTTCTGTCTCCACAGGTCAATATTCTGCTTTGCTCGCGTTCACAGGGGAGCCTCGTTTGAGCCTCACAACGTCTTACGCTTCAAATCTGCTGTAGAGCCTTGAAATGCCACCGTGACTACACACGACTTCGTTGCTCGCCGTTAAGTTTTCGTTCGTCAAGATGTGCACCTGATTACCCTTGATCAGTGATCGTTGAACGATGAGGCATCGTGGGGTAGCGATTCGAACTTGGCAGGGGAGAACTGAAGGCTTCCATTACTCTCAGTCCCTGGGGGGCTCAGACAAGGATCTGGAATCGTGCTGTAAACGCCAGACGTGCAAGTCCTGCTATAGATGAACCACGGCACCCCTCAAAACCCAACCTCACTTTGCAGTTGACGAAAACGCACTATCCCCAGAACTGCAAACCTAGATCCACTGCCTAGTCGGCTCTGAATCATAAAAGTGTCGCGGTTTGAACGTTAAACTTTGAACGAACAGTGGTCTAGACCTTCCTCCCACAGTCCCAAGAAAATGTTGTTAGCATCAGATAGAGGACGGCGTCGTGCCACCGCCACCGGACTAGCAAGCCGTTCAGTTATTCTCGTATGCAGGGTCAGTGTGATTCTTCCTTAGGAATCCCCGAAGGAGATCGTTAAGACGCGCATACGTCACGCGTGAATTAAGAGAAGACACGCCGCATCGAGGAAGAGATGAGTACATCGGAGGACCTAAGATACGTTATTTCAAAGGGCTCGAGAGGTCCGCGTCACCATTTACGGAACTCGCGCTGGGAGGAGTAAGCCACTTTGACATACCGACTTTTCCCGATGGACCGTCCAGTTGAGTTCCGGGGTCCTCCGTAATGTTAGGTTTTTTTTTGTTAATTACGAAGCCCAAGGTACGAGAAGACATACCAAGCGAATGTGGCGCAGGCACTGCCGGGACCGCAAGCCTAAACGATCTGCAAGCCAAGCTGCCAAGCAGGGCGGGAATACAAATATATAAGTTGCCCGAATCGGTGGGATCATTGAAGTCGACAAGCCATGACAGCGCCATGACGAACACGTGCCATCTGAAAGAGCATATAAAAGCGGACACCTGACGTCACAAGGGAGAACTTGTTGGAGAACTGAGATGAGAGACATCTACACAGGAAAGGACCTGCCTCAAAGTCTCCCGCTAATCAAGTTTAATAAAAGATAAAACAGCCGCACATACTTCCGCCGGGGACGTTTCTCAACTAAACAGGGCTATGGGCGGTCGTCATCACAATGACGATTATATAAATTTACCTCCTCCCCTATTTAAGAAGTAATGAACCCGATGTAGCCGTGAGACGTGTACAAGGGGGAGCACCAGGGTCGCGCGAAGGAGTCCTGGGATCTAAATGCAGCAGTGTGAATACGTATTATGCAGTATTCCTCGAATAGGCTAGAAGCGTCTTGGTCTGTAGACGCACGTTCGAGTTCGGAACTGAATGATAGAAAATATGAACAGGACATACTTTCGGGCGAATAGGACTATCTAAGCGCTGGGCAAATGAGTCGTGGGCGCAGAGACAAAAGAAGGTACATACATATAGGTTTTCTTATTGGATGATCTTAACGCGAAGCTGAAGTAGAATTTACGAGCAAGATGGTGGGTAGCCGAGTTACGCAAAGTCGACATGGTAAGAAAACGGTAGTGTATGAATTAATGTCAAGTTTTGTGAGACTGATGTGAATATTATGAAGAACAATATTGAAAGAATGTCGCCTACGTGCAGGTAGGTAGGTGGGCGACCGCGGCCCATCAATAATGAAGCTGTAAAAATCGATAACAAACATCTCGTTTGCGGCAGCAGATACAGCAGTATATACATGGGGCATTGAACACATTTAATGGTGCAGAGTCTTGGCCTTCATCAACACAAAACTTACCCTAGAACCGGATGAATTTTATGTCATGAGACCTATATCCTGGAATGGTATGAATGCGGGAAACTTGAAAGATTGGACGTACCCACCGTGCATAGACCGACAACAACAACTGGCGGAAAGGACCAGGTAATTATTTGAACCCTAGGGAAAGCTGTATATTTTGTAGAACTGTAAGAGGCGGAAAGGATACACAGTTCGCCGTTGAATATGCGCAGGCGGAGCAGAAAAACGCCGACAACGGTCATGTGAGTGGCGGGCTCCCGAAGAGTAAGTTCGACCGGAGCAAAGTAGAAACAAGACTAGACACGATTGTCGTAGGCTCAACATCAGCTATGATTGTGGAACCTATTGGAACGGTTACGGGGTCATGAAAGACAAGAAGACGTCGACATAACGGAAACGATACTAAGGACAGAAATACCTGCTGAAAACTCCGGTTCGGGTAACCGAAGGTCTAGTCAACAGTTCACCCAGTTAGCCTGAAAGAGGAATACTTAGACATACAGAAGAATGTACGTCTGAAATGGAAACCCAAGCAAGACTGGACCCTGTGAACTTGGCGAGGCTAAGGTATTGGTATTCTTCGCTAACCTCCCTCTAGATACTTACGGCTGCGCCTCTAGTCTAACCCGCCTCCAGACTTGAGACATACCTGATTCGAGACACTCGAGTAACTAGTTATGAGCTACGTTGCCGGCAGAACATGTAATACATCGCAGGCACAGAAGCCGTATGGACGCCCGCAGAATTGATGATCAATATACCAAGCATACCAAGACCGAGAGACGGGCTAAAAATATGGCGGAAAGGGCGGGAAAGCACTGTACGCACGATGAATTATTAGTAATGCGTCCTGACGGTGCAAGGTTGATGAATTGGAGTCCTCAAATACTGCGGTCGACAGAGGAGCATCAGAAAACAAGTAGAGCCGGCTGCGAATCATATGAGTAGAGCCTGGGAGTGACCAAACGGCCGGCGATGCCAAGTGTTGGTGCCACAGCATTTTCGTCTTTAGGAGGAAGCCAATATTAAGGTACGAGTAATAAGACATACGGCACAGTCAGCCGGATATTCCAAATAACGATGATCTGAGGGACGACGTTAACGAATGAGAAGGATCACATGAAAACATACAACTCAAGGTTTATGATCCTCACTAGCGACGCGTACAATATGGTTTCGGTTTTGGTATTTCGTCGAATTCGACAGTCCGCGTGCTCGGACAGGTAATCACGCGACCCGAGTCACCGAAGACCAAGCGAAGTAGTATACATTGTCTCGAAGATTTGAAATCTCGAAGGAGCCTATAGTCGTTCTATTCCTCGAGATGTTGAGTACTTGTTGATTGATGGCGGTACATGCGCACACGGTCCAGCCCAAAGAGCGATTACCGGTCATCGGTTACCAACTGCTATCTTCTGAAAACGTTAATATGACTGTAGAAATTTTATAACAGCTCCAAGCGAACTTGACACACATTCGTCGATGTTTGAATCACTGCGATTGCGCAGGAAGAGGTGGCTTGAGGGACATCATCAATTATAGCTTTAAAAGCTTGTCTTGCTGGCATGTGAGATCTGATAAGCGTATTACCGGTTTTGCGTATGTTGTCAAGGGCAAAAAAAATTCACGCCCCTGCAAAGACGATAAAAAGGACCCTGAGAATGGACATTAATATTGGAATTTTGAATCACCAGCGTACAGAACTGCAACGTCATGAATCAGAACAGTATTTGGCAATGGAAGAATTTGAGATGTAGGCGCTGATGTATCCAGACGAGGGACGTAGCTGAATGCTGTTATCAGTAAAATGAATAAATAAAGAGGTGCATGTGTTAGCGGGCGCACGTTCATCTGCGATAAGACGACTACGAGTGAGAGCGGGAGTGAATGATGAATACGTAAGAGACGGAGGCGAGCCCAGGGTAGTAGAGGGAAGCCGAGGATCTTTGGGAGGATAACATATCATAGGGAGTGCAAATAAAACAAAGGCGAGACAAAGAGGCGACAAGGGAACAGCCTTCTTCTCTGCACTTCTAATTGGTCACAGCAACGCCACAAAGGTGGAACGTGAGATCTCGATTCACGGAATCAAAAAAGACCTTTCCCCAAACGGTCTCGGTTGATCGCGATCGAGACCCCGGAAACCCATACGTAATAAATAAACGCCAAGAAGTCTTATAGTCATCGTACTTATACAAGAAGAAAAGGCCATCATCGGTGAAAAGGCTAGATACCACCTTACCTCTACCTACCACCAACACTACTTTTTACAATGTCCAGAGCCAAGATACGTTTTGCACCACTACCTGACCCACGCCAACAAACAGACGACGACGAGTC